CTACCGTAAATTCATCCCCAACTACAGCGCCATTGCTAAACCCCTAACGGATCTGACCCGGAAGAATCTGCCCCGACAGGTTGTGTGGTCCCCAGAGTGTGGAACGGCTTTTCAAAAGCTCAAATATGATCTGATCCATGCTCCCGTTTTGGCTGCTCCTGACCCTTCCAAACGGTTTTGTGTTCACGCTGATGCCCCCACCTTTGGATTGGGCGCAGTTCTGAGCCAAATCGGGGGGGGGGGGGGGGGGGGGGGGAACGACCATCTAGTGGCCTACCTAAGTAGAAAGTTGTTACCCCGGGAGGTGGCCTACGCTGCTGTGGAGAAAGTGTCTTGCCTTGGTATGGGCCCTCAAGACATTGCAGCCCTACCTGTACGGGCGCTCCTTCACCGTACTCACCGATCACAACCCCCTGGTATGGCTAAACCGGGTCTTCGGGGACAATGGTCGTCTGCTGCTGTGGAGCTTGGCCCTCCAACCCTAGAACTTTACAATCCAGTATCGACCGGGGAAGCAAAACGCCCCCGATACTCCTGGCCAGAAGAAACTCTGGGTTAAGCGATGCAGGGTCCGTCGCTTGCCCAATGCCCAGCAAGAGGAATATCATGCGCAATCTGAAGGAGGTCACACCGAAACTTCCTCAGTACTACCATCTGCCGGTGAGGTATTTGGGCAACGCTCACCCCTACTCCCTCATGGACACAGTACAACTTGCCCTGGTCCCACTCATACCTCACATCTCCCAATCCCCCGGGATCACTTCCAGCCCTCCGTCTCTATAGGGGTCTAAGGTTCGGTCTTTAGCAAAATCAGCGGGGAATCCCAGGTCAGGGCAGGGACAAGCTCAAGAGGGGGTGGGTACTCGACTCTTACTGGAACCTCGGCAGGTGGAGCGGCAGCATGCTCTCAAGCTTGGCGGCGAGTGGTGACTGGATGAGCTTCAGCAGGGGTCTCGGTGCCAAAAGTGAAGATCAGGACTCCCAGATCATTTCCAAGGAGAACCTCAGCTGGCAAGTTTTGCATTACTCCCATTTCAACGTCCCTGGCCCCGGCCCCCCAATCCAGATGAAGCCTTGTGGTAGGAATCCGGTAGACATGGCCTCCCGCTACCCGTACGGCCACAGACTGCCCGGTCTTAGCCCAGTCTGGTACCAGTTGGGGTTGGACTAGGGTGAGTGTGGCCCCAGTGTCTAAGTAATCCTTGGGCCTTACGGCCGTTAACATGGACAACCTGTTGGTGATGTCAGCGATTGTCCGGGGTGGCAGCCTGGAGAGGGTTAGCCTCATGAAAGACCCCGATGTCCTCATCCTCGGTGGTAAAATTCCTCCATGAAGAGGCAGTGTCACTCAGGTGGTCCTGTAGGGAGTAGACAGAGGCTCGGCCATAGGGAGTGCTGGGTCGGTTGGAAGTGCCCCAAGGGGGTTGTCTGCTCTGGGGCCTTGGTGGATTCCAGGGGCAATGAATGCGGATGTGCCCGGTTTGGTTGCAGCCATAACAGCGTGGGCCAGACCGCTTTGGGTTAGAAGGTGTGGGTGGTCTGAGGCATTCTCGGGTGACCGGAGTGGGCACCACTGGTTGTGGACGAGGTGCAGGGGGAATGGCGGGCCCGGTTAGCCTCCTGTTGTCCAGGTACTCATCTGCCCAGTGACTAGCATCAGCTAAGGTTAGGGCGTGTTTGTCCCGGACCCAATGTCTAACATCCCCTGGAAGTCCATTGTAAAACTGCTCCAGTAACAGCAGTTGTAACAGTTCCTCTAGCTTGGTGATCTGACACCCTCGGACCCAGCTGTGGGCAACGTGTTGTAACTGATGTCCCCATTCAGTGAAGGTGTCCTGGGGTTTCTTCTTGAGTGCCCGGAACATTAAGCGGTACGCCTCTGGGGTGAGAGTGTAGCAGGCCAGCAAGTGTTCCTTAACATAACCATAATCAAAGCAGTAGCTGTCAGGTACAGTCCTGAATGCGTCTGCAGCCCGACCAGTTAGCTTGCTGCTCAAAATGGGGACCCGGTCTTGGGCTGCCACACCATGGATGTTGCACAACCGTTCAAAGTCCTGAAGAAAGCTGTCAATGTCCCCATCCGCCTCCGAGAAAGTTTTAAAAGCGTAGGGAATTTTCTTTGGTCCGGTTGCAGTCTGGAGAAGGCGGGAGGTAATCTTCTCCCAGGCAGAGTCCTCGGTTGATGACCGGGAGTGACTAAGCCGCAGTTGGGTGGCATCGTCCAGGGCCTTGGAAATCTGTTTGTGGGTGGGAGCACTGCCAAACAGAGCCAAACGCCACTCCACCTCTTGTTGTAAATCCGAATGGTATAGGGGACTCTGTACAGTGCTAAGCAGGCCTGGCGTTTCAGGGGCTGATGAGCTGCTCTGTTCCTCCAACTCCTCCTGTGAAGCAGAGTTCACTTCTGGCAGAGCAGTGTTCACTTTAAGTGTAGCGGAGTGTGCATCAGGTGAAGTGAGGTGCGCATCAGGTGAAGTGAGGTGCGCATCCGCTTGGTCTAGGGCCATAATCTCGTCCAACAGTTCCTCTCTGGGATACCTCCCCGAGCGACAAGCAGGCTTTGGAGGGCTGGCTTCCAGAGGTCCCGTATATCCATCTGGCTGAGCAGAGATGCCTCCGTGAAAAAGATGGGGTCCCGGTTGGTGGTTTGGACTTTCTCCAGTGTGTCTTACCCAATGGTCCCCTTTTCCGGCAAGTCTTCCAGCACTCTCCCAAGGCAGGTATTATAGCTAAAAACACTCCCTTACCTGCTCTCCCAAACCACGAGTCGGAACTTCATGTAGGGTGTAAATGAATTACTCTTTATTGAACACAGCTCAGTATATAAAACTTCACTCCAACCCAACAGCCTGGCACCAGGTTTTCCCCACCCACAATAAACCCTACAATACAACAATACAGTAGGAACTCTATTAGAAATGAAAGACTACAAGGTCACATTTCCCTAAACAAACTGTAAAGCAGTATATGTTTCACAGACATTCTACACTAAGGGGATAAAACCAGAACAGAAAGGGCAAAATGTTATGAAAAAAAGGGACGGTTCGTCACAGTGAGGTCTGTTCATATAGTGTTAAGCAAGGGGGCAAAATTACATGAATATAGTTGGGAGCAGTGATTAGATTAGGAAGGTAAATACCTAGGTATTTTAAGGTATTCTGACACCAGGTAAATGAGAACGAGGTTTGCAACTGTGTACACATACCAGAGGAAATAGAGAATGGCAAGAACCACAGATTTATTGTAGTTTATTTTAAAATTAGAGAGCTGGTAAAACCCTTGTAGCTCAGCCATCATATTGAGGAGGGATGTTAAAGGATCAGTCACATAGAACAAGACATTGTCTGCATAGGTGTTGTGTTCCAACGTCCCAGTACAGACTTCCTTTATGTTTGGGTTTAAGCAAGGTGAGGATAAAGTTGAGTGGGGACAAGGGGCATCCCTTTCTCATCCCATTCCTAATGGAGAAAGGACAGGAGAGGGTGCCGTTGACCTTGATCTGTGTCTCTTTTCAGCGTCATGGACAGTAACAAGCAGAGCGGATAGTCATCATTCGAATGTGCCCAATGGATTATTTGGATGGCTCTATTAGTATTATCTCTTGCCTCATTTCCAGCAATGAAACTTGTCTGATCGAGGAAATAACCAATGACAACACAGGCTTCAGACGGTTTGCTAAAATCTTGGCCAGTATCTTGATGTCGATGTTTAGAACAGTTCTTTCTCCACATTATAATTCTGAATAAATCAAAGGGTGGCCATGCTTATTTCTATAGTAGCAAGCAGTTTGCTTGATTTAAAGATTGCTTGCAACAAACTGGAACAGAACTCAGACTCACACAGGAAGAAAAAAAAAACAATTTGTATATCTCGACAACTTTCACAAAAACAGTAAATGCTGGATACATATAATAAATAAATTGTTTATACGTATTTAAAAAGAATCTACATAGTCAAAGAGTTTATGGTGACAGACAGATACCTGGATTCCATGCTGACACACACTTGTGATGATGTGGTAATCATTGACAGTACAAAGAGGACACGCCTGTTCCGTCTCCCACAGAAAATGAAATACACAGCCATCACAAGTTCCCTCTGGGCAGTTTCTGTAAGACAAAATTAGTGTTACGTCACATCCATTAGGTATTACTTTACATTAAGTAATACTTTAAAAAACAATGTAAAATTAGTACAAACATAGATGCTGAAAAAACATACAAAAGTTGAAGCTGAACTCCGCCTATGATCTTTTTTGCATACCGTATTTTTCGCTCCATAAGACGCACTTTTTTCCCCCAAAAAAAGGGGGGAAAAATGTCAGTGCGTCTTATGGAGCGAATATAAAGCGGCCGGTCCGGCATTTCTGCCGCCACCATGTCAGAATACCGGGCCGGCCGCTCAGCTGTTCTCTCTTGCAGGGCCTTACCTGTTCCTTGCTCCAGCGCTGCACAGTCTTCCCGCGCTGGCTTCTGTGAATGGTCCGGTGTCTTCTGGGACACATGACAGGTCCCAGAAGGCGCCGGGCCATTCACAAAGCGCAGCGCTTCTCGCACATGCGCAGTGGGCACCCGGCTGTCACAGAAGCCGGCGCGGGAAGAAGAGAGAAGGACAGCTCCGCAAAAGTGGGAGTGGGTACCTGTCAAATTCAGGTACCCGCTCCCCCTCCCTCCCCAAAGGTCAGCAGTCTCTGGTCATCTCCTTTACTGTCTGCAGTCTCTGGTCATCTGTACTGTGTCTCTGGTATTTTCCCTGTACTATGTCCGCAGTCTCTGGTCATCCCCTGTACTGTGTCCGCAGTCTCTGGTCATCTCCTGTACTGTGTCCTCAGTCTCTGGTCATCTCCTGTACTGTGTCCGCAGTCTCTGGTCATCTCCTGTACTGTGTCCGCAGTCTATGGTCATCTCCTGTACTGTGTCCGCAGTCTCTGGTCATCTCCTGTACTGTGTCCGCAGTCTCTGGTCATCTCCTGTACTGTGTCCGCAGTCTCTGGTCATCTCCTGTACTGTGTCCGCAGTCTCTGGTCATCTCCTGTACTGTGTCCGCAGTCTCTGGTCATCTCCTGTACTGTGTCCGCAGTCTCTGGTCATCTCCTGTACTGTGTCCGCAGTCTCTGGTCATCTCCTGTACTGTGTCCGCAGTCTCTGGTCATCTCCTGTACTGTGTCCGCAGTCTCTGGTCATCTCCTGTACTGTGTCCTCAGTCTCTGGTCATCTCCTGTACTGTGTCCGCAGTCTCTGGTCATCTCCTGTACTGTGTCCGCAGTCTCTGGTCATCTCCTGTACTGTGTCCGCAGTCTCTGGTCATCCCCTGTACTATGTCCGCAGTCTCTGGTCATCTCCTGTACTGTGTCCGCAGTCTCTGGTCATCTCCTGTACTGTGTCTGCAGTCCATTGGTTCAGAATTTTTTTTTTCCTGTTTTTCATCTCTAAAACCTAGGTGCGTCTTATGGTCAGGTGCGTCTTATGGAGCGAAAAATACGGTAATTACATTAATCCAGCTTGGTAGTTTTGTAGATATGCATATCTCACACATAATGGACTGCTGGAAAATTGACTCTCTCTGCAATAGGCAGTACTTCTAGCAGCAATTCTCCAAGTCCTGTGCCACGTGGCTTCCAAACCTCTCACTGACCACAGGTGGTCGTTTGGCACTGCTACCATTCATAGAACACCTTGTATTTTTCAGTGAATACATTGAAACCTGTGACGGCAGAGAAAAAAAAGACTAAGTCCTCCATTGAGTCTGCCCTTTGTTTTTTATTTTAATTTATACATGATCAGCCAGGTGCCGGCTATATCATAACATTTAAGGACAAATGTGACTACAATTTATCCTTTTTCTCTCTAGTGCCCACTACTGGAACTGCTACATCACTTCCTTTTAGCAGAGTGGATACAGTTCTTGCAAAGCTGAAGATCTTGGGATCTGTAGTCCTCTGGCTATAGCCAGTACAAGCAAAGTAAAAAAATATATTCACCCTGTATCAAATAATATAAGGTAGCTCTCACCAACAGGTAGCATACCAAACCTATATCAATATGTTAAAGAACAAAGAGTGCAGCACCACTAGAATATTTAGACAAACAATATTATGATCCAAAACAATTTCAGAAATGATATACCCAGTATGGAAATACTGTACACAAAATAGTCCAAATGTGAAAACCTTAAAAAAAAAAAAATCAAATCTACCACCATAACCGTAGTGATAATGCTTGCAATGAAGAATTCAAAGGTCAAACACCATCTCTCCATGAATTCAAAACTCACCGGAGTTGATGGCTGTCATTAGAACAGCTTAAATGCCCAAAATGTGTCAAAAGCAGAAGCCCAGTGTATGTACGTTGTTGCTCAGCAGCTGCATCCACAGATACCACTCAATAGATCCAGGCTAGGACAAAATAAGGTTCACCAGGGAGTGAATCACATTCCAATAGTGTAGTAATTAATAAAATATGAATAAAAATATTCCAATAGATGGCAAAAACCCGCCTACATGTATAGCCGCTGCTTTACATTAAGTAATACTTTAAAAAACAATGTAAAATTAGTACAAACATAGATGCTGAAAAAACATACAAAAGTTGAAGCTGAACTCCGCCTATGATCTTTTTTGCATACCGTATTTTTCGCTCCATAAGACGCACTTTTTTCCCCCAAAAAAAGGGGGGAAAATGTCAGTGCGTCTTATGGAGCGAATATAAAGCGGCCGGTCCGGCATTTCTGCCGCCACCATGTCAGAATACCGGGCCGGCCGTCCAGCTGTTCTCTCTTGCAGGGCCTTACCTGTTCCTCGCTCCAGCGCTGCACAGTCTTCCCGCGCTGGCTTCTGTGACAGCCGGGTGCCCACTGCGCATGCGCTTCGCTTTGTGAATGGTCCGGTGTCTTCTGGGACACATGACAGGTCCCAGAAGGTGCCGGGCCATTCACAAAGCGCAGCGCTTCTCGCACATGCGCAGTGGGCACCCGGCTGTCACAGAAGCCGGCGCGGGAAGAAGAGAGAAGGACAGCTCCGCAAAAGTGGGAGTGGGTACCTGTCAAATTCAGGTACCCGCTCCCCCTCCCTCCCCTCTCCTTGCGACCATCAGGCAAGAGAACAACCATGGGTTTGTGGCTTGGAGAATGGCAAGCTGGAACGGATGAGCCCTTTTGAAGACCGATTCCAAATTGCCGAAGAGAAGAGGTAAAGGGTCCTTTGGTAGTTGTAGAGAAGTGATGAAGGCGATATAGCTGAGTAGTTGGGACCAAAAAGTAGATATTAGTTGGCAATCCCAAAATCTGTGTTTTAGCGAAGGTTTACAGTGTCCACACAAAGGGCAGGTAGAGACTGAGGGATTCCCACGGACATGTAGGCATGGTGCATTAACTTAAATTGTTGCTCCCGCCAGAACTCATTGGAGTTGAAGGCACAGGTATTGTTGAAACCAGTGAGGATTTTTTCCATTGAGAGTGTGTTGTCAAAGTCTCTGATCCAAGGAGAAGTAGGAGTGGAGGCCTCTAAAGGATGCACATAGTGTAGGTTTAATGGTCCATAGATGTGAGATATCTTGTATTTTTGATTTCTAACTAAGATATCTATGAATGAGGAGCGGAAGCGACTAGATTTAACCGATGTTATCTTGGTCACATAATTACAAACTTGCAAAACATACAGAAAATGATGAGGAGGTAGATTGAAAGAAGTTGAAATCTGAGAAAAAGACAAAGGAAAGCCAGAGGCAGTGTCGTATAATTGGTTAACTAGTTTGAGGTCCCGTTCCAACCATAGATCATATGCTGCGTGTTGTTGAGGGACAGAAAAAGCAGGATTACGACGTATGGGGAGGAAACGGGAAACCCATGGGGATACGCCTAATTTACGTCTGATCTCCCTCCATGTGATAAGGGTATCACGGATGAGTGGATTATATTTTAAGTGTGGAGGGAGTGAGTTAGGGTTTGAATGTAGAAGAGCTGCAAGATCGAAAGGGTGGGCCATGGCAGATTCTAGTTGCAGATTAGAATAGTTGGAGGATTTGGTCAGCCAATCTATACACACCCGTATGATGCACGAGAGATTATATACTCTGATATTTGGAAGACCGATTCCCCCCTCACATCCAGGCAGATATAGCTTATGCAGGGCAATGCGTGACCGACGTCCTTTCCAAATAAATGTGGAGAGCGCTTTGTGTAGTCTAAGCATGTCCGTATGCTTAAGTAGTAGAGGGATGGTCTGAAGAGGGTATAACAATTTCAGGAAGCTCACCATCTTGAAGAGGTGGGCTCGCCCTACAAGTGACAGTGGTAACTCTTTCCATACCTCTAGTTTGCTTATAATTTTTTGAATTGTTGGTGAAAAATTGAGCGAGTAGAGAGAAGAGGCAAGTTTTCCAATTTTGATTCCTAAGTATGTAATATGATAAGGAGTAATTTTGAAAAGAGAATTATGAGCCCATGAGGGAGTGCGTGCATAGAATAAGGTAAGGACTTTGCTTTTCGTGAAGTTAATACGAAGACCCGAACAGTGTCTGAAGGCTGTGAAAATATCATGTATATAAGGCAGGCCATGAGTTGGGTTGGCAGTGAAAATTAAAATATCATCAGCAAACAAGGCTAGACGTAGGTCTTGTTGAGCTATTTGGACTCTGTGTAGCTGTGAGTGGAACAGTAGGAAGCGGGCTAAGGGTTCTAGGGCCAAATTGAAGAGCAAGGGGGATAAGGGGCACCCTTGACTTGTTCCTTTATGCAGTTTAATGGGGGTAGATGTGCGCCCTGCAGCAACCACCTGTGCTGTAGGAGCTGAGTACATAGCTTGGACTACATGAGTGAAAGGGCCTGAGAAGCCAAATCTATGTAAAACCATCTGTAGCCACTGAAAGTTAACATTATCAAAGGCCTTTTCAGCATCAAGAGAGATTATCGCTAGGTCTTGGTGAGGATTGATTTTAGCATGATTTAACACTGCTAGTACTTTGCGGATGTTTGAGGCAGCAGAGCGTCCTTGTATGAAGCCCACTTGAGAGGAATGAATGATGGAAGGCAAAATAATAGCTAAACGATTTGCGATAATTTTTGATAGAATTTTGGCATCTAAATTTAGAAGGGAGATCGGCCTATAGGAACCTGGGTCAGACGGGTCTTTGTCTTTCTTTGCTATTAATTTTATATGTGCCTGCAAGGCAGACGGAAGATAGGCATCCCCTTCTTGTATAGAGCAGTAAACTGATTGCAGGGTTGGAGAAAGGGTTGTAACCATGAGTTTGTAGAACTCAGAGGTGTATCTGTCTGGGCCAGGAGCTTTACCATTAGCTAGAGTTTTTATAGCAGATTGAATATCAGGTTGAGATATAGGAGCATTAAGAGATTGGAGTGCTACGGGATCGATTTGAGGAAGAGCAATATCGTCTAGAAAAGACAAAGCCTGTGATTGGTCAATAGGGTCGGGGCCATATAATTTAGCATAGAAACTTTCCAATATGGAAACAATTTCTTCAGAGGAGTGTTTCAATGTACCCTGAGAGTCCTTGAGGGAAGTGAATTGTGTAGGAGTAAACGGTTTATGGCACAAGCGAGCCAGGAGTTTGCCCGGCTTGTTGCCAAATTTATGATACTGTAAGTCAAGATGTGATTGGTGCATGGATTCTTGTGCTGTTGCCCATGTTTCGAATTGGTGTTTTGCCTCCAGCCAAGGTTTCCTGTGTTCAAGTGTGTTGGAGTCAGCCAAATTTTTTGAGTCAGTCAGAGTCGGTTACTAGCTTCTGTGTATTTTAGAGCGACCTTTTTCTTATATGCAGATGTAAAGGCGATGATTTTACCGCATAAAACCGCCTTTCCCGTTTCCCAAAATAGGTTGGGATTGGATAAGTGAGCTGCATTGGTGATCTGGAAGTCCGCCCAAGTATCTTGGAGTTGACGCAACACCTCCTGGTTATTTGCTAAGAAGGAAGGAAAGCGCCACGTTTTGCGAGTTTGTTTGATAGCTGAGGGTTATGGATATGGGAGAATGATCCGAAATAACTATGTCATGTATATCTGAGGAAGATGTGTATTGCAAAGCAATAGAATTGCAAAAAAATTGTCTATTCTGGAAAGCGAACAGTGTACCGGAGAAAAGAAGGTGAATTCCTTCCCATCTGGGTGGGCCAAACGCCAAATGTCTGTTAGTTGCATTGCTTCCGCAAATGTAGACAGTAGTGTGAGTGTTGATTGGGACTCCATAAGTGGGCGGTGATTGTGTTCTAGTGATTTCGACTTATCTTCAAAGGCATTCATAAGTGAGTTGAAGTCCCCTCCGACTACTAAAGGTAGATGGATGTAGGCGGACAGCTTTGAAGACAAGTCCTGGAAAAACTGTTTTGACGGTGAGTTGGGAGCATAAGTATTGGTGAGGACCAGTGATTGAGAGCCTACTTTGAGGTGTAATGCTAGGAATCTGCCTGCTTCGTCTGTGTTTACCGAGATTATGTC